TTAAATATATACATAATAGAGTATGTCACATACAAATTTTTTCATATATTCGTATATAATTTTTAAACTATATAAATTATAAACTATAATATAATAAACTATACATTATAATAAACTATATAAACTGTACAATATAATCTTTAATATGAATATAGCAATATTATAGGAAATTTGATGTATAAAGACATTTAAATTATTATAAAAATTTTATATATATATATATATATTACATAATATATAGCTGTTTAAAGTTGTTGAATAAATAACCTAGTTTATTTAAATTTAGTGATAAAAATTGGAAACATAACTATTTATAATTATAATTTAATAGTGGTAACACTGTATCAAGCATGATATTATTCGTGACTGTCATTCTTTAATAAATAGAAATATTATTTTCTTATATATTATTTTTAAAATATTGTAAAAAATGTCAATTGAAATTGAATCTGCAGAGTAATTATTTTATATGTAATATTTATAATTAGATTTTTATATTTATTCTTAAAATTTATATTTTATTGTTTGATTTTAGCGTAATTCGTTTAATACAACAATATCTAAAAGAATCGAATCTTGTCAAAACATTACAAACATTGCAGGTATTTATTTATTATTTTTATATATATTTTTATCTTAATAAATAGTTATTATGAATTAACTTTTTGATGAATTCGAAAAGAATACAAGTAAAATTATATAATATTTATAGGAAGAAACAGGTGTATCATTGAATACAGTAGATAGTGTAGATGGTTTTGTAGCAGATATAAATAATGGGCATTGGGATACAGTATTAAAGGCAATACAATCATTAAAATTACCAGATAAAAAGCTCATTGATTTATATGAACAGGTTTTTCATTTATTACACATATAAATTTTTTATAATTTTTATAATTATAATAATTTATCTGATATTTATAATAATCCATAGGTTGTACTAGAATTAATTGAACTACGAGAATTAGGAGCAGCTCGATCATTATTGCGACAAACAGATCCTATGATTATGATGAAACAACAAGAACCTGAAAGATATATACATTTAGGTATGGTAAATGAAGATAATAATTTTATTTATTTTAATATTATATAATTAGATATTATATAAATTAAATGTTATTATGCTAAAGTAGTTTTATATTATTTATAATTTAATTTAATTTTATTTTTATTTATTTAATTTTAACATTATGTTTTTTATGTAGAAAATTTACTTGCACGTTCATATTTTGATCCACGTGAAGCATATCCTGATGGAAGTACAAAGGAAAAACGAAGAGCTTATATAGCTACAGCTCTTGCTGGTGAAGTATCAGTTGTGCCATCAAGTAGACTACTTGCATTATTAGGACAAGCATTGAAATGGCAACAACATCAAGGTTTACTTCCACCTGGTACTACAATAGATTTGTTTAGAGGAAAAGCAGCAGTACGAGATCAAGAAGATGAAAAATATCCCACTCAACTTTCAAAACAAATAAAATTTGGTCAAAAATCTCATGTAGAATGTGCAAGATTTTCACCAGATGGTCAATATTTGGTTACTGGTTCTGTTGATGGATTCATTGAAGTATGGAATTTCACAACTGGTAAAATCAGAAAAGATTTAAAATATCAAGCTCAAGATAATTTTATGATGATGGAGCAAGCTGTGTTATCAATGGCTTTTAGTCGTGATAGTGAAATGTTAGCTGGTGGTGGGCAAGATGGCAAAATAAAAGTATGGAGAGTTCAAAGTGGACAATGTTTAAGAAGATTTGAAAAAGCTCATTCAAAAGGTGTTACGTGTCTTCAATTTAGTAGAGATAACAGTCAAATTTTATCCGCATCATTTGATACTACTATAAGGTATGTAGCATACATTGAAAATTTATTTTTAACATTAACAGAATGATTTATATTTTAATTTATATTTTATTTAATTGTAATACATAGGATACATGGACTTAAATCTGGAAAAACTTTAAAAGAATTTCGTGGGCATGCTTCTTTTGTAAATGAAGTAGTGTTTGCACCAGATGGACATAATTTAATAAGGTATAATATAAATTTTAATATTTCAATTAATTGAATTTCATGAAATAATCATTAAATGCTTTCATTTATAATGATTATATTAGTGCATCATCAGATGGAACTGTAAAAGTTTGGAGTTTGAAAACAACAGAATGCATAGGTACATACAAATCTTTAGGAGCTGCAGATTTAACTGTTAATAGCATTCATCTTCTTCCTCGAAATCCAGAACATTTTGTAGTGTGTAATCGTTCAAATACAGTAGTAATTATGAATATGCAAGGACAAATAGTGAGATCATTCTCTAGTGGAAAACGAGAGGGAGGTGACTTTGTGTGTACTGTTGTAAGTCCACGTGGTGAATTTATTTATTGTGTTGGTGAAGATCTTGTGCTTTATTGTTTTTCTACATCATCAGGAAAACTTGAAAGAACTCTTAATGTAAGTTTGTTCACTTTGATAATTTATTTTTATATTATACATTTATTGATATTATTTTCACATTTCAGATACATGAAAAAGATGTTATAGGTTTAACACATCATCCACATCAAAATCTTTTATGTTCTTATAGTGAAGATGGCCTTTTGAAATTATGGAAACCATAAAATCAAATGTGTACTTTAAATATTATTTTCCAATTCTAATGAACTTTAATTGTATCATACAATTGTTATACATTTTTTTATCCTTAATTTTAGAAATTAGGAAATAGATAAGGATATTCATTTTTCTAAAATTAGTTTTATTGCACTTTATACTATAATATAATAAAAATTAAATACGTACATTATAGTTTTTATTAAAAATTAATATTATATATTTATAATTTAATATATTTTAAATTGCATTTATCAATTCATTTGCTATATGATATAAACATATAATTTACATATATATTTATGATATAAAAATATAAAAATTAAATGGATTTTGTTAAGATTTTTAATAGATAAAAATAAAATTAATCATGTGTCAAAATCATTTTTTGAGCGTATTTTTATAGAACGAGTATTATTTACTATTTATAGACGAATAGAGCATATAATAGGACAAAAATAGAAATAAGATAAAAATATTAAAATCAGTAATATTTTCAGAATGTCACGAATACATAAAGAAAAAATAAAAAAAAAATGAAAGAAAATATAGATAGGATAAGAATTAACAATTAGCGCCATTTTTAAATATCATAAAAAATCTTTTTAAAAGTATTTATGAAACAGCGTTTATCTCCAATTCTTTTTTATTCTATTTTTAAAGATGTCTTTAATATTCGGGAGATGGCACTAACTGTTAATTCTTATCCTCTTTTTATCCTTTTCTCATTATTTTCTGTCCTTTCTTTATATTTCATTTGCGGCAATCTAGAGATAGCGCTTATTTCAATATTTTTATCTTATCTCTATCCTTTTTTTTATTTATTCTTACTAACTATTATTTATTCTTCTTGTCTATATTTGCTTTTGGCGCATAGATCATAAATAAAATAGATCATAAATAAATAAATGTCAATCGAACACATTTCTATTATTTTTATATTATAAATTATAATTTTAATTTTTAATAAAAAAAATATAAATTACATTCTTGATTTTACAATATATTTCTAGAATGATTTCATAAAACATAATGTAACTTGATATACAATATGAATGTTTTCATACAAGATAGTGTTCGGTGACATTAACAAGCATTTAATTAAACAATTATTTTAATTATTAAAATTATAATTTCATTTTAAATTAATTTCAAATCATTATATCGTTAAAATTACAAAAGTAAAGTTCTAGAAATCTAATTTAGAAATAAGTAAGACATAAAACAAAAAAAATATTATTCTGTATCTGAAATTTATTTATTTATTTTAAATTGATTTCTCCTCATCATTTCTAAATATAATATATAAAAAAATTAAAAACTGATATGAATGGTTTACTGCTGAGAATAAGAATTATTTTTAATAATCACAATAATATTAAATAAAATTAAAAATATTTTATATGCGTTATCTTTAATATGTATAATCGTACAGCCAGTGTGATCTAGACATTTAAAATGAATAATAAAAACGTTCTCAGCTATCCTGCGCGTATAGAACAAAAAATTCATGGATGTAAGTATCTGGATGTTGTGGTAATTGGGCTCGAGCAAATAAGCAATTACTATATTTTGGGTTGGCAAATATTATAATAACGGGCTAGAGAGGTTAACCAGGTTATCTGGAATATGATCATCGGTTCAGGCGTTTTAGAGAGCGCCAAAACCGGCACCAACCTGCTGCCCATTTTTATTTCCTTTTTTAATATAGCTTCTTACTCAAAGCTTCGTTAATATTTCCATAAAAACTATATAAAAATGCACATACTTCTGATTAACTTGGCTTTATAATATAAATTATAAATTATATAAATTATAATATAAATTTATAATACAAATTTTACAATAATAAAGAGAGAGAAAATATTAATGGAATAAAAATATTATATTTTAATTCCTGAAAAAACTATATAAATAAATAATAAATATTTGGATCGATTATATTTTAATTTCTGAAAAAACTTATATAAATAAATAATAAATATTTGAATCGATTTTATGAATGATGCTTATAATGATATACTTGCTTGAAATTGTTAAATTGTTAAAAATTATTAAATTATTTTAATAGATAGATAATAATTTATTTTAAAATATTAGATTTTAAATTTTATCCCATAAATTATAATATTTAAATGTATAGATAGATTATACTCTTAACTTATTGATAAAAATCTTGTTTAAAATATCATATTTAAAAATTTCATTTTATACTTTAATTTTACATTTTAAAAATTATTATTAAAAATTGTAATTAAATGTAGGTATGTAATAAATAATTTACATTAATTAGATCTCGTAGAATACATACGTACATATATATATATGTACGTATAAATTTATTGTTTATTTCAAATAAATTTGTGTTTCAAAATAAACCGGAAGATATGATTAATGCGACTTTAATTCCGAGTTTTCAGCTTAGTTTCAGTTTCCTGTCGGCATTTTTGTTTACTTGTCTCAAAGGTCCAATAGGCGGTTCGTTTGTTTCGATTTTCTTCTTAATAATCAAGTATTGTATCGCCCTATGTTTTCGGCATTTTCTAATTTTGGTATTGATATTTCCTTTCATGAAATTTTAGAAGATATTAAAAACCAAGTATAATTAATTTACTATTAGCAAATTTTTGACAATTATATTATTATTTATTAACTATCATAAATTCGTTCATTATTGTTATTATTTTTTTTAATATATAATGATATACACAGAAGACTTGTACACAGATATCTTTTTATTATACTTTTATTCTATTGAAAGAACGTTTCATTTTTTTAATACTTAAGGAAACAGACTATCATATACTGTGGGATCACTATTATAATATGAAAACCAGATGCTATACTTTACTATAATTGAGAATCATTCGAAATATCTGGATGGTAAAATAATTATTCTGGAATTTGAAGTCAATAATTTTAAAAATGGAAAAAAAAGAGATATTTATTAAATAATAGGATTGAAAATAAAAGAAAAATAATTAAATTAAAATATAAAAAGTTTTTCCTTCTTCTACTTGTGAAGAATTATGTCAATTGTAATAAATAATTATATTTATATGTATTTTAATCTATTTTTAGTGTTACGTGTTTGAAACCTGTGGAGGAAGGAACTTCGAGCGGTTGCTCTTTCAATGGAAGACTTCCATTGAAATTGAAAGGACATTCGCTCGAATAATTTTACTTCCTTCGTCACGAAATTATAGGAGTTCGTTCAAACCTTATTATATACAAAAGTAGAAAAACAAAATATTCATCCTGTTGATTTAATATTTGTCATTTCTGAAAATACGTGTGAAGAGAAATTAAAATTAATATTTATTGTAAAATTGATTGCAGGTGGAATAAATATAAAAGATTATTTTTAGTTATATTTTTTTACTGATTATATTTTGATATTATTTTTTGTATATAAATATTAATTTTTTAAACGTTTTAAATTCAATGAATTTCAAACTTATTATTAATTTGTGTATATAGTCATAGATTTTTTTCTTTTTATTTATATTTTCGAATATAGAAATGTGACAACAAAGTTGAAATTCATTTTTTTAACGTTTATTAAAAACTTTCAATTCAATTATTTCTTACCAGATTGCAAGATTGCAATAGACAAAATGGATCAAAGTACCCCTTTGTTTATTTTAAAAAGTAATTTCGAATCATGATTTTTCGTTTCTACGTTTCCAAAATATTTCCAATTTTACAGTTGTAATTTGTTAATAATTGGATATTGTTTGTATTTAGGGTGAAAAAGATTTCTCTCGCTAGCCAACTGGTCCCAGGTGTGTACACTGGGAGCGTGGCAGACGCGTGCTTCTCCCCTCTTTAACCTCAGACGAAGGCAGTTGGTCTTACTTGCTTTTTCATTCTTTCTACTAATATACTATACATATACATTATACTTAAAATAAATACATAAATGTCATGCTATATGATTCCAAATTTTACGCGTTATAAATATATATAACAAATATTTTACGCAAAAATACTAATATTTTAATAAACAAGCCAATTTGAAATATCTTTGTACGTATATAAGAAATAAATTTCTAAAATATATAAATTTGCACAAATATTCATTATAAATAAAAATCACTTTGTAATTACATTTCAATTTTTTATTTTACCTCCATACGTATAAATATTTTCTTATTATTTAATGAAACTATAAATCTACAAAATCTATAAACTTTATATCTATATATACAAATATAGCTACAAATTTGTACATCGTATATTTATTAAAAAAATTATACAATAAATAAATTCAAGTATCTATATTCAACATTGTCTAACTTTTGAATTGATAATTTGAATGATTATTATGAAAGTAATATTAGTAAAATATTAATTCTTACAAAAAAAAAAAATAATAATATGTACAATACAAATATTTTTAATAATCATTTGTACAAAGTCTACTTTAAAATCAAGTATAACAATTATTGAAGAAGCAAAAGTGAAAAGAGATTTATATTATTCGTATATTATTCAACAAAATATTCAATAATCTATGTATAATTATACAGTTTATACAATTAAGAGTAGAAGAATGCAGAAAATTCTTCTTGAACGATTTGCATTTGGCAGGAAAGGTGGTAATTATTTGCAACGGAATAATGCAATTATCAAATTGACCCTCGCACCCTCGCATAATTACTCGCGACTTCGCGAGGATTTAAGTGGATAATCATTGGGAATTGGGGGGGAACTGTTCGTTGAACGTTGAAATTTGGCAAGCGTCAGAATGTGGGGCGCCAGGTCGTCAATGCGCACCATGTAATTTATGTTGCACGTATGTATACATCTCTGGTGGTGGAATTTAACGGTGGTTTTTTCTTTTTTTTCTTTTTCTTTTTTTTTTTTTCTTTTTGAATTATTTTGCGATAAAGATATTCTCTGAATGGAAATCGAACTTATCTTTGTACCAACGAATTTTTAAATTTTGTCTTACGACTTGTTATACAAGTGGAGGAACTCGAAGCAAGAGAAGGGTAGTTTCACTCGTGACAACTTTGAAGAAATGAAAGGAAATTACTTGAAAAATTGTTACTTTGACTTGATTGAAAAAAGGAAACATACAGTTTGAAAAATGTATTTTTTGATGTAATATGATAATTAATCATTAAATTGTAATCTTATTACATAAAATAATCGAAAGTAAGTCATTAATTTTTTTATTAACATTTGTATTTAGATTATATTACACGATGCAGAATTTTTTTTTAAAAAAAAGAACTTCCAATTGTCAAATTAATTATTAATTAATCTTTGTATGTGCTAACGAATTGTCAGAATTTTAAATAATTGACAGAATTCAATCTGTTACATATAAATAAAATAAAAGTGATATTAGACAAACTTTATTAAATTTGATAAAATTAACAAAATTTTCATCTTAAATTCTAGAAAAGTGTAACTTAGATATTAACGATAAAAAAAAACCTAAATAAATTATTTAATATACCAGTAACAATATACAAAATTACATTTTTTATTTCTATTTCTTATATTTTTAATTATCAAGTTTTACAATTTACTTTTAACAAACTTCTTTGAAATATTAATTGATTATTATTATAATGAAATAATAAGATAATGGGTGAAAATTGAAAGCGTGGTAGCGACCTAACAGTAGGAGGAAAATGAAATTTCACTCTCAATCGAAGAGGCACTCGATCACACAGGAGGGTGCCATATTGTTATATTGTAACAGTTCTCTCTTCTCCTTTTCTTCTCTCTTCTTCGATAATCTTTTTCTCTGGTTTGGACGAACTGTTGTTTTATGAGGACTCTTTAGCTGGGCAGAAGGTCCATTGTAACGCTTATTTCAATGGATTGTTTTCAAAAAGAAAGCACGATTGTTTCATTTTTTTTTTTTTTTTTTTTAGCTTCTT